CTCAGAAAGAGATTTCGAAAAGCACTGCAGATTTGTTTCAACCTGGTCAGGTCTCATCAGCAGTGCTAGTATATGAACTCAACTGGGGATTATGTACCCCGGATAGCACACATAGTACGCAAGTATGCATTATCCACTCGACCACAGGGAAGATGGTCAGAAGGATTTTCGTTTTGTCTAAACTCAAAAATCCGAATATTTTTGTGGGCTTGTTGCCGGAATCTTACCTCTGTCAATTGGGTTATGAAACAATGAACTTCACCTTCTAATGGAAATCAGTTCCTACCAATGAGAGAGAGAGTTGCAAACCGTGTTTGCCCGAGTAGGTAACATTGTTGTAGAATGAAATGGCTACTGCAGCGGTTAACCGCAAATTGTCATGGTTGGTTTCACGCACGGCCTGGACGGACGCACAAAACACAGTAAAGGTTGGGGTACTTTATTTCTACGTGAACCGTGGTTGACTAGGTCAAATGATACCAACGTATGGAGAATTACAAACGTGGCAGTACCGAATGGCATGCAAGATTAGGATGCAGTCAAACCAAGACAGAAATGTTCAGTTATAAACACAGAAAAGTAGAACAATAGTAAGTAGTCATTGATTAAATGACCGTTCAATATTAGAATTCAGTAAAATATTGTAGCGTAGTCAATGAATATATATATTTATATTCAGATTACTTTAATACTGATAGTAATCAAAGTGGGAATACTAAAACATTGAAATTCATTTCCGGAGAATCCGTTTACAGTTCTGAGGGAATGCCAATCAGTACCCCAGAACTGCACTGACTGCATCCAGTTAAGGAAAGGTAGAAAGGGCATTCAATAAGACATTAAATTGCAAACTTTATAGAAGCTCAAAGACACTAGGGCTTGGAGAGAAACATCAATCTACTGCTTTGAGCTGGACACTATAAATAATACCATCGCAAACAGAAACGCCTCAAATTAAACTAAAATTTTGAAGATTGATGAAAATGTCATGTGTTCCTTGTATCTATTTAAAAGAGTTACCAAACATAGAGAAGAAAGTTTTAAAACATTTTATTATGAAAATTACACATCCACCAGATAGCTTATATTGTTCACTTGATTTTATTCTTTGTGTGTACAGGATATAATCAATAAAGAATCAATCACATTGGATTGGGAATTCAAGCTTTCTCTGATTACTGATGTTGTCAAGGTAAGTTCTGGATGTCTGATTTTACAGGATCGTAAACCGATGCACACTTCGTTACTTAGTTTGAAATCTATAAGTAACTAGTTTTTCTCTTTTTTTCTTGAACTCATGCTCTGTTTTAAACACAAACACTAATCTGCATCAAAGCAGTGATGGGCGTAAAATGCGAACTAGATTGTATCCAACACCTTGGAGATTGGCTTGTTCTCGAATTTTACTTTCCAATATATAGACCACATTTTATCAGCAATGGGGCTCATTCAGAGAAAACTATTATCACTTACGATGTAAAGCTCAAAGAAAACGTTGTTTAGACACCGAATGAAGTTTGCAGATAGTACACAGCTAGCCGATTTCCGTGAACGGTTTGAAAAGACGGATAGGCGCATCTGCAATTGTCAAGTGGTGAAGATGGATGCAGTGGCCTTGATATCCTGGGTTCGGATATGCCTGAGGCCTTCTTCCATATTTCCGTATTTGCTTATCCTCAGCCCCCTTCCGGAAAGCTGGCTGTCCATTTGTATTTCTAATAAATAAAAAGGTGCTAAAAGCTATTGCTATTATATATTGTCATCTAGTACCCTTAAAAACCGAAAACACTTTACCAGCAGTTTTGCTAAATTTCTACAGCCCTGGAAATTTACAATTTTTAAGTGAATTTCAAGGTAAATAAAAAACGACAATGACAAGCAAACATGTACGAACCACAAAGTGATTCTGTCTTGGATTCGCTTGTCTACTTTCGTTTTGTTCCCTATCCGCAGGGGATGCGATTTCTGCATGCAAGCCCGGCAAAAAAACATGGGTGGTTGAAATCATCCAATTGCTGCGTGGATGGTCGATGGGTGGTGAAAATTACCGATTACGGCATGCCGGACATTTACGCAATCTATGGTGAACCAAGGAAAGTGGAAGATAAAGGTATGCTCGTGCTATGACGGGAGATGCGTTCAAAAGGTCCGGTTGATTCTCTGAATTGATTGAACTCACAAAGAGGATGCATTTCATAAATTATCTCGAAATCACCTCTGATTAAATGAGCCTGTTATACACTCGAAATTGACGCTTAAAGAAGGAAATATATATATCATGCTTTAGTGAACACTTTACCAATTTGTTTTCTCGTCCCTAAACTACCAGAAATTGTCTTAGTAGACTGATGATGATAGTTATTACTCGTTTTACAGCGCCAAGCATCATCCGATTCAGAACTTAGAATATTGAATAATATAACCACTAATAGAATATCGAGACCTTGTGTATATCCCTGAGAGCTTTGGTAATAATCATAGCCAAAAATAGCAAGTTCATCGGTGAAAGTATAAAACTCAGAGATCGTGGAAACCTTCTAGTTTGCCTTACCTGATCTAGCTCAAAGTATACAGATTTAATTCGTTGCGGAACCACTGCGCCCAAGAAAAGCTCTCGTTCCATGAGGCCGTGAATTGTCTCACAATGTGCAATGACAATATAAAGAACACATCAGTACAGTGTTGCACAATTTATTTCTGGAAAAATTTCGCTGTATTTCTTCAGGTACATAATACGGTCAAGGAATTTTGTGAAAATTAACGAGTAACATTTACCGCGGATGAGCTGTTGGTACTATCTTCGCCTATCTTTCTACCAAGGTAGAGCTAGAGTTACAAATAACTGTTTCTGCTTACACAGTTCAGGCTTCCATCGTTTTATAGCAATCGCCTCTGCAAACTGGAACAACCGAGAGTTTTGCGTGATGAGGATACTCTTAAATACTGTGGTCATGTTCACTTGATGCCCAGTCTCTGACAGGTAAAGAACGCTCAATGATGCTGATGTGCGGCTTTGGGTTGAACTTTGACCTTGATTATTCGAGTGTGATTCATTTATCAGGTTCTTAACCCACACAGGGATGTGTTTGGCTACTCTTTGTTTAAGCTGCCGCTCGGTTCTGCCTAAGTAGGTGGCCCAGAATCCACAGACGAATTGGTACAATTGATGGGATTTGATATGCTGCGGAAGCGGTTGCTCTACTGGAGGAGCGGGTATCCTGTCACGTGTAGACTAAAACTGATTCGACTGTGTTGAATGTTCGTTTGATGGTCGAGCTTAGGCGGTGCTCCAACAAATTACTCACATCATCATCTCTGAACGGCAGTTGTAGGCCAACCTTACACGTCGGTACGGATATCGGTCGCTCTACCTCTGGACGTGCAATGCTATGCTTTTTCGCGAACGAGCTCGGGTAACCATTGTCCTGGAGAGTGCTATTCAGGTTTAGAATTTCGTCTGCAATGTTATCAAGCGTACAATTTTTTCTCGCGCCGTCATAAAGTGTCCTCACCGGCCCTCGTGAGTAACGAATGGGGACGAAGCCGGTGAAATGCAGGTGTTGCCACGCCCACCTGTGTTTTTGATGAACCGATCGACCAACGCTTCCATCGGTCCTCCGTTGCATTTTTACATCCAGGAAGTAAATGGTATGTTTATTCGGAGGCTATAAATATATAAATCCCACTCTCTCTATCTAAGCAAATCAGGCTGTTACGCAAAATCAATTGTTTTCATTTGAACTAAATTTTCTCTCCATCTATCCGGAATAGAACTATTGTGGACTGCACCGGAGCATCTTCGTGAGTCGGTCACCGCACACTTTGGCAGCCAGAAAGGAGATGTGTACTCGTTTGCCATAGTGATGCAAGAGATTATTTCTCGTAGTGCTCCGTACAGCATGCTGGAATTGTCTCCGTCGGAAATTCTGAACAAACTTCGCCGACCACCGCCTCTTTGCAGACCAAAGGTAAGCGCGATTTGGTTTGGGTTGTTATTTCTTGCATGTAGATCCCCTTTGTGATTTGAAAGAAGCATGTATAATCAAATAAAACACTGCATTTTTTTACTTCTCAAATACACCTATGAAGGTTCTACTGACGTCTCAAAACTAGCTAAATTAGAACACATATTGAACAGGATGACAGAGTACATTACGATTCTTTCTACTGTGCACATTCTCGCACAAATTCACTTTTGTTCTGAGATATATATGATCTTGTAATAAAATCCTTCATTCCGATAGTAGTCATCCAATAATCTAAAGAAAAAATCGAAGTAAACTGGTTTTCAAAACATTTGAACGATCAGAAATAATACGTAATTTTTCTGTAGAGATCCTCTCAGACACAAATCTCAATCATTATTTGTTCCATGGGCCTTTTCTAAAATATGGCAAACCTTTGATCGATTCAGATTGTGATGCTTTGAACTTTTTAATATCAGACAGGAGTTGTCTTAGAGGGCCACACTAAGTTTAATACCCCCAAATGGCTGAACACGATAACTGAATCATGTGAAGTATAGAATCAACTAATAATTAGCCAATCAACGTGTATCACAACCTCTATAGCTAACCGATTGCAATGTTCATGATTTAATCTGCTGTGGATTCAAACACACGTTTGACCGTTGAACTGATTTCTTCAGGTTCACACGCCCCTTAGATACTTCGCAACGCTTAGAATGAAGTAATCCAACGCGGATTTTATGTTTTTTGATTTGAAAGCGATGATTTGAACGACTATGTAAGTAAAAATAAGTAATTAGATGAAACATTTAAAATGTGCACGCCTAGTAATGATATCGAAGAGTTCAAGATTATCGGTAGTAGCTCAAGAAAACCATCAGGTTCAGTTTTCGAAATTTGATGGATGTGACATTTTCCTTTTTTGTAAGATGTTTTCCTATTGACGAACTTCATTTCTATGAGATATACTCCAAAATGTACTCCGTATTGTACATCCGATAATCAATAAAATTCGTACCCCAGGTGTCACAATCCGAGGCACCACCGGCCTACATTGAGTTCATGAAACGAGCTTGGGCGGAGACCCCTGTGATGAGACCGTCTTTTGAAGAAATTCATCAACAACTGCGGACCCTAAATCAAGGGAAGTAAGTCGGAAATTAATTTAATTTAGGTTTCTTTGTAAAGTTACATGTTTGGAAAAACATTTCCTTAAGTGACTTGGAACAAACTGCTATTGATGAGTCTGATCCGCACCTTCATAAATGTTTCACAGAGGTCGATGGTACATAGAACCTAGAACAATAGAATTCCATAATTAAAAAATGTTGAAGAAAAAAAGAAATGAAAAGCTTCATTCTACTTTGCTATGTTCATGCAATACCTGTAGCGAACATGGAAGTACTATCCAGCTAAATATATGAATCTATGTTTAAATGAATTCATATAGGTGGCTGTAGAAAGCATTTCTTTCGTTCGGAACTTGTGTTTACTAAGATATTTCCTTTGATAACGGACCTAAATATTATCGAAATTATCTGATTATTTCAAGGAAAATCAACATTGTGGACCATATGTTTAAAATCATGGAAAAGTATTCAGCCGATCTGGAAGATCAAGTGCGTGAACGGACGGAAGAACTGGAAACGGAAAAGAAAAAGACCGAATTATTGATCGCAAGAATGTTACCACCGTAAGTTCTTTTAATTGACCAATAAGTTTTTGCGCACCCGTTTCAAAATAATATTTATCTTTGACATTTAAAAATCTAAACTCTCTGCATGTATTCCGTTATCTTCAATCCCTCCCCAGTGTGGTCGCAGAGAGTCTCATGTCGGGCAAACCAGTCTGTCCGGAAGCGTTTGACGAAGTGACAATTTATTTCAGTGATATCGTCGGGTTTACAACTATCTCAGCTTTATCGACTCCACTTCAAGTTGTGGATCTGCTGAACGACCTATACACGATGTTTGACGCAACTATTGATTACTATGATGTGTACAAAGTGAGTGTTAGTCATTTTTACTCTTCTTCTATGGTTGTTTTGGATAGTTTATGAGATATAGGTTCACCTCCAGCTATCAAAAATGCGAATCATCGTCAATTGTTCCTTTAAAATTATTTGTAACGTTATATTTTTAAATATTCTAAGAATTGTTATCCTCAAATACTTCAAGTAATGTTATATAAGAGTGGAAACATGTAACCATATTTTGTAGTCGGAAGATCAGGTTACAATTTCATATTGCATCATGTGATGTAATGCATTTAGCTCTTAACCACTTAACGATGCATCCTCATTGGTGCCGAATCACATTACCTAGGAGTCTAAATTAGCTAACCTTTTTTGTGCACTAACCTTAGGATATTAGTTGCTTCCACAGATTGACCACTGTCACCCTCGATCGGAATCTGCAGTGCACCATCTTTTCTGAAAGGAAAAATTTTATATTTGCTATTTGGAAGCTCGGTGGTACTGAAATAAGAACGCTCAGTTTCCAGGTGATTTCTCCAAAATAATCATGCTACTCAATTTTTATTGCCCATAGAATGAAAGAGATAGTTTAGTTACTCATAAGTAGCAAATATATGACAGATGATGATAATGATAAATCTTCCGTTGACCCTACAATCGCGTACCGGTTTTCACCATTCCATAGGTTGAAACGATTGGTGATGCATACATGGTTGTGTCCGGTTTGCCCACGAAAAATGGTCGGTTACACGCCGGAGAAATCTCGACAATGGCGTTGGATTTGCTCAGTCAGTGTGGCACATTTGTCATTCGGCACATGCCGGATATGCCCCTGCGGTTGAGAATCGGATTACATTCTGGTCAGTTTGTACTGCCCATGTCAATTTGACCGAAATTAATACTATAATACATCCTTATGGTTATTATTCGTACTGGATAAAACGTTTGTGAATAGACTAACCGGGATTATTTTTATATATACGGGTTTTTATTTCATAACGTTTTTCAAGTGGCCGCATTATATACCTACGAGGTATCTTATCGAGTCAAGGCTTCTGAGAACTTTGAAAGTGAGAAGACGATTTCTGATGGGGAGTCGAACGACTTTCAGAAATTGAAAGCATAATTTTCCCCAAAAACACAGGTTTGCACAATGTATCCTAGATCATTTAGCCCCATCTGTAGACATGCATACTGCAGTTTGTGTGATCATTATTGGTTAATATATGGTTTATATATGGTGAATTTCTTATCATTCTGGCGCTACTTTCATGAAAAATATGTTTAGTGAGTAATTTCTCCGTCTATGGTTCTGCTATTTACTGACCATGTATTAGTGACCACATACACTGCAGTACGCACGTGTACAGGTACAGCGAAATGACCCAGGATGCACTGTGCAACCCTGTGTCTTCGATATCTCTATTCAAGAACGACTTTACTTGGTCATTAACAAGCAATGTGTTTTACCAAAGACAAGTTCACACAGCACTGGCATGTGCAACTAAAATGTTCCGAACGTATTGTTCTCGGTTTTCGGTTTTGCACGGTAAATCAGTTTATAAGTTGGTTTTTCATTCTCAAAAGAAAAGACCATATTGCAATAATACACGAATCATGTCCAGAAGGATATCGCTGCATCTGAACATGACGCATCCTGCAGAAAACACAATATTTACATAGGGATTAAGCATGTCAACAAAGAAGAGTAAAGTCCAATGAAATAGACGAACATAAAAGGTGGAGGGGTAAAAGGCCTATGTCACCAGGGTAAAGATAAACTAACTTAAAGTTCTTTTTGTTGACATATGGGGGCTTCCGTTGGCTGATAGCAATCACTTCTGCAAACCTTAACAATCGTGAATTGTAGATAATCCGAAACGCCGTGCTTTGTTCGATATGGTATTGTGTCATCAGAAGATGTCGAGCTACGGCTGATGACGGAGTCTTGTAGTTCGACCGTTGTTTCTATGCCACGGACTTGACCCCGATTGCATCATCTGACTTTGGACACAATCTGGAATACGTTCAACTCGTGTTTTCCACAGTGTGCACCAAGTTGAGACGCAGCGAAGTCGTCCTGGACCTTAATCGTGCAGTATTGTAATATGGTCTTTAATTTTGAAATTGGTCTTGGGAAAGGTTTGTTTCGGTTTTTCATTCTGTCGCTTCAACACGGATCATGTAAGAAAAGCCTCCGTTTGCTTCTGAAGTTGATAATTAACCACAATCTCCTGAGCCGAAAGAATAATAAATCTAGTTTTACATTCTAACTAAAGGTTCATGTGTTATTTACACACAAATCTTACCCGGTTAAACGCGACTCAACAAGATCTATTGTTCTAAATAGATCCTTGGTAATAGAATAGATTCACGAAGAAGGATGGAGTGCATTGTGATCTACGTGTAAATAGCTTGGTAAAGAGATACACACTCATGGAAGGAAGCAACTATGGATTGCTAATTCGAGCTAAAGAAAAGCACACTACATGAGCGACGGCTGGAAGAAAACTGTGGCTCACACGAGAGACCATTTATATCGTATTTGGGGCTCTGGATAAATGCCTGTTGCCCGAAACTGTAGCATCGTCACTCATTATCATAAGATGGCCAAGAAATGTGTCATTCAGTGTGATACAAATTAATGCAAACAATTAAGTTACTATGTGCACTCTTTTTTAGGTTCATGTGTGGCCGGTGTTGTTGGTTTGACAATGCCAAGATACTGTCTGTTTGGTGACACCGTGAATACAGCGTCTCGCATGGAATCAACTGGTGCAGGTATGTCACAAAACAACACCATTCAACCCCATCCTCGGGAAGTCGATAATTTTGATTTTTTTTTCAACAGATGACTGATTTTAGCGCTTTTAATTGTCCCACGGCTTTTATCATAATAATAGAGCAATTCTCCAAAGGCTCGGTAGATTGCCCACTGATGGTTTATTTGTAAGGCTTATATCTGAAAATTGTGCACACGGTCGGAAAGAATACAGTCTGTCATGATTTCAAAATATCAGTGCAATTAAAAAATTGTGTTGATGCAAGGAATCAACGCGCGTATGAAGAAATGTGGTGAATCATGAAACGGGCACTACTGTTGTAGGGTGCTACTCATATATGTAAGTAGCATGCAAAAAAATTGAGGTTGACGGTTTCCCTCAACGATCAAAATTTAACAAGGTGAATTGTTGTGCCCAAAAGAATAACTGTAGACTACTCCATTCATTACCCGGTGTACTGTTGGGAATTGTGAGGACATGTTTCAAATGAGATTTAAGTCATAGGTATGTCAAATGATTAACATCCTAACTGTAATGTACAAAAAATAACTATCCTCGGCTAGGCACCGCCGTGTGGAATTATAACATTACTAAAGAATATTTAATTCGTGCAATCAAACAGATAGACTACACACATTTCATGCAAATATACCTTGGTATGTGCTCATTTTTATAACTTGTCTATTACGACTCCAGCAGATGTGGTCTGTGGACCAGATGTTTTCCTAAATCATGCTGAAAATTACACGGTCGAAATGTTGTCACAACCACGAAGCAGCATCATTCTTACTCCCGAAGCCGATACGGATTACAGAATGAGAGCCCAAACCCATCAATCACATTGCTTTTTCTCGAATGCCACATAATCCATCCAAAGCATTCTGGCTCATAAATAGACGGTGGTTGATTTTTCCATTTCTAGAGAAAAATGTGACCTTTGACAGAATAAACAACCGTTTGTTTGCATGTCAATTTATGGAGTGAAACCTATACTACTGCCCACAAAGCATAGAACAACGACTGTGTTACTTATCAATGTATGCTCTCATGCAGAGAAGCTAAATTTTGAAACATTTTCAATTCTACTAAATTCCAAAGAGGAAATTCGTTGTGTATATAGCAAATGAAGCGTGATTTGAAAATCTAGGATGCACTGTACAGCTGTTTCTCCCTAGTTGGGTCGCCGCAACAGACCTGCAAAGATGGTTTGTGCTACATCGTGTAAATGGAAAATGAAAAATTATCTGGTCATCGGCCCAGTGTCCAAGTGGGTGGCATGCTTGAGTTCTGCGTGTGAGGTCCAGGATTCGATTCACAGCTGAGTCGAAGAATTCGCACTGCTAATGATGAGACCCCACTGGGTCGAAACAGCTGTACAGTGCCTCCTAGCTTTTCAGTTTAAATAAAAATTTCCATTACTCACATTTACAGGCCGAGTCTTTTCACACAAGACGTACTTCAGCATTAGTCAAATAATCTGATTGTCTCCACGGGAGAGTGAAACTGAAGCAATGATCGGTTTTTGAACACAATTTTTAAACGCTTGTCATAGCGTTTATCTGGATCACATTCGGAGGGCCTTATTTAGTATATAAATTATTCTTTGGTGGAATTGATTTGCACGTGTTTTTTCACCGCGAGTGACAAATGACCGCAAGCACCCGTTCACTTCTGTTCACCGGGCTGATTTAGCATTCCGAATTCACGTGAGTCCAACCACGAAAGAGATCTTGGACGAGTTGGGTGGCTATCACTTGGTTCTTCGGGGCAAAGTGGAGCTGAAGGGAAAAGGCGAGGTGGATTCCTTTTGGCTGGTTGGTAAAGATGGATTTACGAAACCATTGCCCGTTCCTCCGGAAGTTCACGAGTAAGTGTTCTGTTTTGGACACGATCACACTTGTTCATGAATGGTAACTGATATGTTTTCATGCAAAATCTAGGTGTCACTGAGCATTGGACAAAACTTGGAAGAAAAACGTATTTATTCGTTTATCTTGTTTCCATTCCAAACCTGCAATTAAAGCGACCGTTGGTGAGGTAACATTTTTTATGTTTTGAGACTTATAAACTTATTGAGACAGATAGAAACAATACAAATCTAAATCTCAGTCAGACATTCGTATGATTGTTCTTTGGAAGAACTCTGTATCCTTACGTTAAGGGTAGCATGAACTGGTTTTGGAATTTGTGTTATACCCCGAAAACATTTACCAATTCGTCGGCTCAGTGAACGTTTCAACACAGAACCAGTGTATTGTTTAGTGGATGTGAACAATGAAACTAATCAATTTATATTTCGCTCTGTTTCAGAGGTGACAATCACGGGTGAGTCCACTTTTGTCATGCATATTCGTGAATAAATTCCCTTTTGGCGATTCATTTCGAAAGAGCGAACGTTTAATGTATAATATGAAAACAATGTTTCATTTTTAATGCACATATATTATTACACTGTGTTCTTTTTCCATTCGAACCGTGAACAGCTTGGCCTCATTGATTAATCCGGGCGAACTGAAAGCATTGAAAGAAACAATGCAAGCACGTGATCACTCGTCCACAACCAGTAATGTGAATTCCGGGACTGCCTCGCCCGCAGCTGCGCGTCAATCACCCCTGATGACCCCATCCGGTCCGACACCATCGAGTACACCCGGGCGAAGACAGAGCACAATGTCTGTGCATTTCAGTCACGATGCACAGAACGCGGGCACCAATTCACAGGCGCATGACAAGCGAAGAAAATCGCGGAAAAGCGTGGATCAAAATAATCCACATCATTCCTAATGTTTGTGTAAGAATGTGTGCGAACGCCACAAAAATACGCGTCTGAACAAGGGCACACAATAACAGGTGGAATCCACTGGGGTGGGTTGGGTTGGGGGAAATCACAGATCTATAGCTAGATATACATATACATACACTTGAGAAATAGTGTGCAAATCCTTTGATTCCATAGATCATGTGTGATTGTCATTCTTCTTCATTGAACATCCAACTGATCCAACTTACCTGTCAGTCATTTCTCATTCTGCGAAGGGTAACTAATTTACCCCAAGCATACCCGGCACAGATTCATTATTGCACCTACATCTGCTTCTGGCTGATAGCTACACACACACCCTCATCCACACCTCTTTCTTTCTATCAACCTATGTACTGTGCAAAAACGCAAATGTTATGCGTGATCAGTTGAGTCACGCGGTTGATTGACGTTCCGGACACGCACAGACACCCATCCACCTTTGTTGCTATTTCGTTTTGTTTGTCGTATTCATAGAAAGTTATGATTAAGATTATCATTACTGAATTGTTTTTTTCAGTCTGTTTGTGAATCTATTTCGAGGCGGATAGATCTCGCCTTGATAATTCGTTGGATTCACTACCCCAATTCTTTTCCCTATAATTAGTCTCGTTGGTAGTTGGTGTTAGGCATCGTGCATGTAACTGGTAACAGTTCTATGCAACTCATGCATTTCGATTGACGAGACTATGAATGGCTTCCTACAGAGGGAGCCCGGTGAAGGAACAAAAAACAACAGTCATGATGTTCGCATACGACCCTGTTGTCTTTTCTGTTCCTCCAGGTGTGTGTAATGAAACTCAAAGTTATATTATGGCGAATGCTTCAAGCGGTTGCTTTTCTATTTCCATAGGACTTAGTACAGATGAATCGATTCACGCTTCTTAAAAAGTAGATGAATGTTACAACTTATCTTTGTTTCGTGCACTGCTACGAATGTTGGAATTTAAGACTTGTCAAAGTTTCATGCGGTTTGTGTTTGAAGGAATTCGTTGTGGGCGCAGAAACAACGTGTGGTGGCAGAGAATTCCAAGTAGTACACATTCTGAGGGCGAATGAATGACGCCGACATCCTAGTCGGCATTTCCGGAGCACTAATTTGAATAAGTGCACCCTCAGGTGTGTTGGGCGACAAGGCAAAGAGTGAATGAAATGGGTGATCTGGGTCCTGCATTATTTGATACTCCAGGATCAAGTCCCCTCAAATTCGGCGATAATTTGTGGAGTACAGTTGCAGTGATTCCAGTCTTTCCACGTAACTCTTGCAGTCCGTTGACCATTTTGGTGGTCTTTCTTTGTGGACGTTCCAGAATAGTTCGATCGCGTTGCAGCCATGGATTCCACGCTTGAATTGCATACTCCTTGTGTGGCCGAATGTAGGTTGATATCAACCGTGGAAACAGCGTAGGTTCAAATTTGGCAAATACTCGCTTTAGTAAACCAACATGTCTTACAGCGGTACACGACACCCGGGATCAGCTTCAAGAACAACTTAGGTCGTCTTGGACAATGACGCCGATATCCTTCTCGTTCGAGACATACGGAAGTTGTTGATCTCCCAGGAAATACGGAAACTGAGTTTTGTGGCGAAGGGATACGACCGTATATTTTGATGCATTAAATTCCATATCGTTTCCGGCGGACCATTGCTAGGCCACATTATGTGTTCTCTGAAGTGCTAACGAGTCCCCTGGTTTTGTCTCCGTTTTCCATATTTTCATGTCGTCTGCAAACATTAACGGTTTCGGCCTCAGATTGTCTCTAGGTTGTTTATAAAAACAAGGAAAAGTTGAGGGCCAAGCACGGATACCCGTGGAACTCCTCGTGCTACGCTGATGGGATCAGAAAGTGACCCAGAAACACGAACTGTCATGGTGCGCTATCGTAGAAATTCTTCTATCCAACCCAGTACGAATCCAAGAATTCCATTGTTGTGTAGTTTCCTCAGCAGTATTTTGTGGTTTACTCGGTCGAATGCTTTGGAGGAGTCGACGTGTACGACGTCCACTGCGGTCACCGGCGACAATAGTGATGGTTTTTGTATGAAGGTTTATTGGTACTCTCACTTTCGCGCAATCCTCAATTGAGTTAGAAGGAGCTCAATTCCACCCACGGTAGTCTAAATTGATTAAGGTCTGCTCAATTTTGTACTGCACCTTTGACCTAATTGTGAAACGCTCACAGTTGGCCTCACTCGCATGAAAACGCCCATTATCTACTTGTGCGCAAAAAGTAACTATTCTCGATCACAACTCATTGTTGTCCGGTTAAGTCGAAGACGATCCAATAACAAGGGATACTCGAGCCACGATAAATCTACACAGTTGTAGATGTGATAAGTAAAATGTGACGAGTAAAATATACCATTGCCTACCGTGTAAACCCAATTTTTCATGTGCGAATAAGCATCACGAAGAAATGTGAACTGTGGATCTCTCTTTGTGTCACAAATTCAGTACACTATGTCCTCGAGGATCATTACTGTGTCGTACTTATTAAACCAGGCTTGTTGTTATGTACGAGAGTTCTGTATGTACATATTCACGACAGTTTACCAAAGGAGAAGGAAGCTATGGTTCTTGTCTGAATACAACGCAGAGCAAATAAAGCTTATATATTTATTCTGTGTGACGCCGGCGGAAGAGATGCGAGCAATGACACTATCCAGTACAGCTTTACCGGATTCAAACAATTTTCGTTCGATTTAAAAGTAATGGTTTCAAATTCGCTTTTCCCGGTAATACCGCTGATCCCGGTTTTGGTGATGTAAAGTTACCTCAGCCGTATCAGAAGACCTTCTTGAACAACCTATACTCGCTTCCGCTACTATTCATTAGGTCTGACGAGGTGCCCTGCAGACGAGGCTTCTACGCTCAGAGGATGCGTGTGAACCCTGTTGATAGTTCAAAGGCCTAATAATGGGTATTGAAAATCTGAGACCTTCAATCCCACTAAATTGATTAGCTAAGTGTGATTCTTCAGACATACCATAACCCTGGAGATTGACATCTATCTCCCCTATTTTGCTAAACGGGGGAGAAACTCAGTGTCAGAAGACAGTATACG